ACAACTCTAGTGCATTGGAAGATATCAACCAAGCGTTAAATGTGCTAGCTGAGAATCAAAGACGTGAACCCTTGAAGATGTGTTAGCTAATGATTCTGTCATTGTACTTTACAAGAGGTATCAAGAGTTCAAGGAAGACGTCGGAAAAGGTCACTTAGGGAAGACAGCACATATTTGAAGGGATTTATTGTTAAGATTTGGCTGCTTCTTCGTTTTATGAGAGCAACGAAGGAAAATGATCTTGACCTATACATATCAACATTATAAAAAATGCTACAATTATTCTTTGCATATGATCATCAAAACTATACAAAATATCTATTTGTATATGTTTTTATGTTGATAAATTGATTCAACACACAGGATCAAGAAAGCTTCTTCAAAATAACGGTTTCAGTGTAAGCAGATCCAATGTGCCTGGCTCTTTAATGCTGTTAATATAACTATTGAGCAAATAATAAACAGATATGCAAAGTCTCGTTGAGGCATAATAGGATTCAGCGGAAACTTTGCTGCCTACTACAGATGGAATCAACACAACACTCGAGAGCCAGCTAAGTTGAGGCTACATTCCGCATGGCCGGCATATCAGCGGATTCTTCTACACACATTGATACACAACCAGCAAATATAGCTGCATTTGAAAAAAATGTCACGAAATGCAAAGAATCAATAACTAACTTTATGAATCTATTTGCAACAGATAATTGGGATGTGTTTATTTGTTTAAGTTTAGGGGGTTCTGCACCAGAGGAGATCAAAAAGAGTCTGTTTGATGCCTACCGAAATAGACTTGAAGCACACAAAAAGCTCGCCCAAGAACGTCTGGTTGATAAAATTTTGTTATTTTTTATGCTCCACTGAAGAAGCAAAACTGAAAACCTTTGCCGATACAAAGAAAGTTAAGAAAGTGACATAAACTCAGAACAATCTTGTTGAAGTTAAGGCCGCTGGCAATGTCTTCGGTCAGCTTATCATGTTATCAGAAGAAAATGACATTATCCTTGAAAAGACCCTTACGTACCTGCTTGGACCAGTGCCTTGGTCTCTAGCTACAGCAAATAACTGCCAAGGCAAATCTAATGCATGATCTCGAAGGCGATTATACAATGAACAGAGGCCAGGTAACAAAAACATAAGATTGATATTAGAGGAATTGTCTAAAGATAAATATGCAGGGAAATTGGACAGAAGGAGAATCTTGTGCTTGTGAAGAGACACGTGTATGCCTCCAATGTAAAGATGGAAAAGTAGAAGTAATACCGATTCCAGATCTACATATGTCTCAGGAGGAAGCCGATATCAGAATTATGCTACATATGTTACATGCGGCTGAAAATGATGACAAAGCAATACGATATCCTGATACTTATGTTATTTTACTTCTAACGTAAGCACAGTCTATCAACAGATTAATACTATTTGACACTGGTGTGGCTAATAATAATAATAGAAGACTGTTGAAAGTAAATAAAATCATTGATAGACAAGGAGAAGATCTTGGCAAAGCATTAATTGGGCTACATAGTTTTACCGGATGTGATACCACGAGCCATTTTTCATGAGGGGGAAAATTAAAGCCGTAAACATTTTTTTTTATATATATTAATATACAGTCATCAGGAGAATGGGCAATAGTGTTGATATTCAAGAAGAAGATTTCAAAATTCTAGAACAGTTTGTTTGCATTTTATACAGGACAGACAAATAAAGTGACATAAATAAGTTGCGTGTGACATTTTCAGACAAAATTTTAGACCAAGACATACTTACAAATACCTATATTATTGACTTGCGTTCAATACCACCATATCTTTCCACATTAAAGATGCATATTTTTTAGATCAAATTAACAAGTATTTGTGTGGTGAAATGCCTTTTGTCAATTCCCAACTATTCTAAGTCCTGATAGATATGGGTGGAATACTGGTACAACCGGAGGTCTCACATATACATTGTACCTGGACAATGGAAAATATACTACCACCAGGATTAATTGAAATCATAGCTAATTAAAATGCTAGTGAAGTGTTAGAAGATGATAAAAATGAAGAAGGTGATCTAGAGGAAATTGAGATGGAAATTTATATTGATGTAATTTTCGAAGAAGATTTCGAATAATAATTAATATGTGACTAAAAAGCTGTATTGCAAAACAATGGAGGGGGGGGGGGTAATTTATAGTCTTTAATAGCATTATCATAAACCCAAATTGAACAACAAAAAGTCTATTTAACTTCTATAATATTTATACAAACAACTTTTTATGATTAAGTGATGTTTTGCTTTTTTTTTAAACAAAACCACAAAGTTTATATTAAAATGTTAATAAAATAAGAGGAAAATGGCGGCCATTTTGAATTTGGCGGCCATTTTGAAAAGTAATAACATCAATTAATTATGAAGTAAATCATTTTGGAGACCTTGTCTATGATCTAAAACAAAAACCGACTACATAACAATTCATTTGGTTAAAAAATTAATGGTTATTTCAATTAGGCTGTTGTGACAGGGGCAGATAATTCACATTGGCTTGTGTCTTAATGGTAAACGTTTCAGTCAGACAACAAGTTGCAAATGTCTTCCTATATGTTTATCTTTAAAACTACATATGGGTCCCATAAAATACCCAGAGGGGGTAACCTTTTCCATTTCCAGCTCATACTCTAATAGATTTAAAGTTAAATGAAATAACCATGCACTTATATTTATAAATGTCACTGGGGACACACAGTATCAATACTTATAAACCAAACAAAACATGTTTCAAGTGTAAAGAATGTGCTGCTTTTCTTGTTTAAAGATTATTTTGATTACTTGAAAAAATAATTTGTATTCGCGTATATTGTCCCGCTAATGCGATGTTCTGTTTCTCAAATTGTGTTGAAGCATTTGCCAAGAAACAGTTTCGATGCAATCGAAGTTAATAAAACAACGAATCTTACAATATGCGATGGAGTTCTTGTTGACTCGACGCCGACAAAAACCAAGGATACAATTTGCTAGGTGTTAAATCATGGCCGTATATATTTTTTATTAATCTATTATTTCACAATAACAGCTTTATTTAATCACAAATGTACATGCATATATTTTTAAAGTATTTAAGTATTTTTCTTAAAATATGGGAAATGATGATTAAATGTATCTTTTCGTAAAGAATATACGAGTATGTTTGGCGAATATATGTATATGTAATATTATACGAATATGGGCTCTTTAGCTGCTGGTGAATATGATATGTACCGAAAAGTGACTGAGGCGATAGCCATTTCAATAATGATTTTCAGTAAATATCACATCATATTCACCAGCTAAAAAGTACATATCTTTTTATTATTTAATTATAAATCGCTTTTATATGTGGTATCTAAACTGCCATTGAATACGACGGAAATCAACATTTTTTGCAGCTCGTCTACTTTTTTCATAATTTGCCATTGTATTTTAATGAGCGCATTGGTACGATAAATTCGAAATGTTCTTACAAATGTAAAGACGTCTAGTTTGACTTTTATTTGCGAGTCTCATCCCCCCCCCGCATAAAACAGCGTCTATAATATTATATGTAGTTTCCTTTCGCTGCTAACCATGTGACGTCATCATATGATTATTATTACATGCTTGGGAGTGGAAAGTGAAATTATATTTGATAATTTTCACAGCGATATTATATTTCATAATATTCACTGTAGCCGGAGTATATTTGAATGCGTATGAAAATGATATGGAATTATCAGCAGGAATAAATTCCGTCATATGCACAATATGATAAACAAGGTCAACAAGGAAAGGCGGCGTTCAATGGACGCAACTACAAAACGAACCAGCAACAAGAAACTGGCGACAAGGAGCCCTGGAGGACCCCAAACAAAAATAGGACAGGGCTCAAGGCAGAGCACTGACAGGATAATCACATAAATGATACTTAAAAAGAAATAATAGTAACCGCGACAAGGAAATTAAAATAGAAATAATCGATTGATTAATAGCACAAAGTAAAAGGGCACACGGGGAATGGACTCAAAATTCGGGGAAGGAGGGGCAAAAACAAAAACTCCAAAAAAACCAAACAAACAAAAAAACTAGGGGCAAAAGGGAAGATACGAGGGGCGCCGATTTGGCACGGTCAGCAGCATAGGCACTGCTGGGGAGTTTAAGTCGGTAAATGGTGCACCAAATCTCCCCACCATGTTCCTATAAACGAGACCGTGTAAATAAAATGAATCCCCGCTGAGTGAAATTCTAACAGTTGTTATGGTTACAAAAGGCGATATAAGTAAAACACCAACATAATCATGTAGAAACTACATGTAGAATCCTTATGATTCGTACCCCATTTTTCTAAGGTATAATATGCAAATAAAGCTTTAGTTCAACCGAGTATTTTATTTTTAAAGATATTTCTTGTTAGTTATTGATTGGAAATAAACTGCTCTACCGACCGATTGCAAAACAATATACACACTCTTGTCTTCGAAAGAGGCATAATCTTAATATTAGTTTAAGATTATTTTATTTCACGATCACTTGTATATTGATATAATCAAAGAAATTAGGAAAATATTCCTTTTAATAGAAAGTCTAGTAAAAAGGCTATTTGACTTTTCTTTTTCAAATATTAAATATCCATGTAACTCATTTTTATTACTTTTCTTACTGCTATATTATGGCAATAAGATTTGCTGTTTGTGCATAAACACAGCAACACAGCTGCATTATGTATAAACATGTATTAGTCGACTGCGACAAATGTTGATCATTGTAGTGCATCAATCAACAAATGTGCAAAAGAATACATACAAATGATCTGAATGTTATTTTATGCTTTATATTCAGGTATAAACATAGCTTATGTGACAAAATATATCCTTTTTTTAAATAACTACTTAAGTTGATATGATTTTTATTGTTCTGTTTCTCGATGCTAAAATAATTCTTTCCTCGTGCTCTTTTAAATTACAGGTTTTTCAAGTGACAGTACAGTACAATGAACACAACATTAAATTTGAAAATCAACAACTCCCACCGGCATCATATAAAGCAAGCGCCCTCTATAACAAAGCAAAACCACTTCAAATGACGTTCTCGTCTGGTGACAAAACGTAATGAACGTACATTTTTTACATTTTATTTATTGTACAAGACAATAAAAATTTCTATACAAATATATTATAAATATAATTTTTAGTTATTTGATGTGATACCTATGTGATGGTTTTAAACTTCAAAAACATGGCTATTTGTAAATTATAGGGCAATGATCTTTTTATGAATTCTGTATCTTGACAACTTATAATGAAGTAATCCTCTTTAGTTGAGTCTACATGCATTTGTAAAAAAAAACCTTCGTTGTGTCTACATGCATTAAAAAAACCTTCGTTGTGTCTACATGCATTTGTAAAAAAACCTTCGTAATGTCTACATGCGTTTGTAAAAAAACCTTCGTTGTGTCTACATGCATTTGTAAAAAAAAAACCTTCGTTGTTTACTACATGCATTTGTAAAAAAAAACTTCGTTGTGTCTACATACATTTGTAAAAAAAAAAACCTTCGTTGTGTCTACATGCATTTGTAAATAAAACCTTCGTTGTGTTTACACGTATTTGTAAAAAAAAAACATTCGTTGTGTCTACATGCATTTGTAAAAAAAACCTTCGTTGTGTCTACATGCATTTGTAAAAAAAACCTTCGTTATGTCTACATGCAGTTGTAAAAAAAACCTTCGTTGTGTCTACATGGATTTGTAAAAAAACATTCGTTGTGTCTACATGCATTTGTAAAAATAAAACCTTCGTTGTGTCTACATGCATTTGTAAAAAAATCTTCGTTGTGTCTACATATATTTGTAAAAAAAAACCCTCGTTGTGTCTACATGCATTTGTAAAAAAAAAACCTTCGTTGCGTTTACATGTATTTGTAAAAAAAAACTTCGTTGTGTCTACATGCATTTAAAAAAAACCTTCGTTGTGTCTACATGCATTTGTAAAAAAAAAACTTTCGTTGTGTCTACATGCATTTGTAAAAAAAACCTTCGTTGTGTCTACATGCATTTGTAAAAACCCCTTCGATTTTTGTCTACATGCATTTGTAAATAAACCTTCGGTTTGTCAACATACATTTGTAAAAAAACCTTCGTTGTGTCTACATACATGTGTTAAAAAAACCTCCGTTGTGTCTATATACTTTTTTTAAAAAAAAACTTCGTTGTGTCTTAATGCATTTGTAAAAAACCTTCCTTGTGTCTAAATATCCTTGTAAAAACTCTTCGTTGTGTAAAAAACCTTCATTGTGTCTACATACCTTTGTAAAAAAACTTTGTTGTGTCTAAATGCATTTGTAATTAACCTTCGTTGTGTCTTCATGCATTTGGAAAAAAACCTTCGTTGTGTCTACTGCATGCATTTGTAAAAAACCTTCGTTGTTTGTACGTGCATTTGTTAATAAAAAAACTTCGTCGTCTCTACATACATTTGTAAAAAAACCTTGGTTGTGTCTACTTGCATTTGTAAAAAAAAAACATCGTTGTGTCTACATGCATTTGTAAATCACCTTCGTTGTGTCTACAAACATTTTTTAAATAAAACCTTCGTTGTGTCTATAATTATTTGTAAAGAAACCATTCGTGTTGTGTCTATACATACTTTTGTAAAAAATACATTGGTTGTGTCTTAATGCATTTGTAAAATAAAACCTTCGTTGTGTTTACGAATATTTGTAAAAGAAACCTTCGTTGTACCTACATGCATTTTAAAAAAAACCTTCGTTGTGTCTACTGCATGCATTTGTAAAAAACCTTCGATTTGTGTCTACATGCATTTGTTAATAAAAAACCTTTGTCGTGTGTACAAACATTTGTAAAAAATCTTGGTTGTGTCTACTTGCATTTGTAAAAAAACATCGTTGTGTCTACAAACGTTTAAAAAAAACCTTCGTTGTGTCTACATTTATTTGTAAAGAAACCCATCGTTGTGTCTACATACATTTGTAAAAAAACCTTGGTTGTGTCTAAATGCATTTGTAAAATAAAACCGTCGTTGTGTCTACAAATATTTGTAGAAAACCTTCGTTGTGTCTTTATACATTTGTAAATAAAACCTTCGTTGTGTCTACATACATTTGTAAAAACCTTCGTTGTGACAACATACATTTGTAACGTAAAACCAATACAAACGTTAGAATAAAATTAAGTTCAAGTAACTACACAGAAATGTTTTTGTCGATCTATATTCTTTCTATTACTTGAAGTGTTTTGTTTAAAGTTTAGTTCTAGAGGCAATGATTTGGTGTGACACTCATCATTCTGGCAATCATTGTCAGCATACATGTAGCCCAAGAGGAAATAAGATGTGTGACGAGAATGGACACTTGGTTTGCAAGACAGGTAAATTTAAGACATTATTAATGATTGCTATGATTGTTTAAGCAGCGATTAAGATTTAGTTGCTCTGACGCTGCTTTTTCCGTCGTTCTGAGTTTAACATATTGTAAAATATAGAGGGGGAACCTGAATATATGTAGGATGTCCATTGGTCATTTAAAAATTACAAATTGATATCCCACTTGCCATTTAAAACATTGAAAAATAATGTAAAGGATATATACATTCCTAAATAACTATAATAAAGTACATGTAGTTTCGAAAACAATTTATCTAGTTTGATTTTTCGGATATTTGTGAAAACATAATCTAAAAAATATATAAATTTTTAAATAACCTAAAGGAGTTTCGAAAATAATTTACCTAGTTTGATTTTTCGGATATTTGTAAAAAACATAATCTAAAGGATATATAAATTCTTAAATAACCTAAAGGAGTTTCGAAAACAATTTACCTAGTTTGATTTTTTCGGATATTTGTGAAAACGATATATTCATAAATAACCTAAAAGAGTTTCGAAAACAATTTTTCTAGTTTGATTTTTCGGATATTAATTTGTGCTTCCTCCCATTCAACATTTTACAAAAGTTCACAATGCTTCTAAAATTGCATTAAATTTGAAGCGTACAAGGCTTTTTTCTTAATAACTGGACCACCAATATCGTTTCCGATCTCGGAAACTCACGCGCATGAAAGTACCTTATGACACCACTTAAAAAACTCAGAACGTCTCAGTAGATTATGTTCATTGTTCATGGTATTATATGATTAATGATATGTACAATTGATTTGAATTTCATGATTCTAATACATAGAGAATATTGAATGAGTGTAAGTTTAATACCGTATTTATTGAACGAGTTGAATAAAATATATTATGCTTATATGACGAAAATGACGTCACGTCAGAGTATTTGCACGGCCGTGCAAATTTCATTTCTTTCTTATACGTATATTTGCAAATAAAAGAAGCACATATTTAATGTACATGAATTCGTCAGTCTACAATTACCGAAATAAGACAGTTCAAATTAGAAACATATCTTACATTGTTCCTAGATCAAACCAATAAAAGTAACATCAATTGTGATTAAAAGTATTTTCAGCAACTGAAAAATTCCATTAGTAAACAAGCGATGAGCTAAAATGGTGTTTCAAAACAGCAAAATAACCTACGCATGTAAAAACATAGGTACTTCGTCAGAGTAATATTTAAGGACATTTTTTTGCATCATTCATGTAAGATGAAAGAAAAATGAGCTATAATTGACTTACTGCGGAATTAAGAATATTTTTTTGCCAAAGCTAATCCGTAGGTACAAACAATCTTTTACAGTAACAGTTCCAAAAATAAGCGCAACAGGTTGACTTATCAATTGCTATGGGAAGAGGACCGTGAAGCTATTACGGTAAAGGTTTGTTTGTACCTACATATAAGCTGGGGAAACCCCAAAATTGCCGTTCCAAGTATTAAATGTTAATAAATTTTTCAGTCAAAAGGACACACTTATCTTTAAGTAGAATTTGGTGTATAATTTTTATCATTTCATATATCAAATAAGATAATCTGGACACTATGAAAAAGCATTGGAATGCGGTTACAGTTAATGAAAAACTTATGTTAATATTATGGTAGCGGAAATAAAGCTTAACATAACAATATTAATTTTGTTTCTGATGACAAACTTGATATTCTAAAATGTCTAAAAAAAATAAAATTCCTACACTTCTTCCTTTTCAATACCGCAGAAATAATTCTTACATTTCACATACTTGAAGATTTTTAATACGACAGGGAAACAAATTTAATTTTAGTGTTTAAAATTTTGATCTTTTCCTGTATGGGACTGCTTCTAATGTTTATGAATACTATATGATCAGTTCTCAGTCGGAAGTTTTTATCGACTGCTTTATAAATTTGTTTTTAAGCTCTCTCTGACACACTGTATAACACACGCACGCATGTAGGAAAACACACAAAGCGATCAACTAATGACTTAACCATTATGTAACTAACGCGTAAAGTACAAAGTTGACAAGTTACTTCTATCCTATAATATGGCAAATGACCTACTGGTTACACAATGCTATAAAACATATATTGTAGTTATAAAATAAGTAAAATGTTAGCCCATTAACAAACTGTCAAAAACTAAATAAATGCCGATTTTTCGTGCGATTTTTCTATGTATAATTTCCCGCTCATGACTTTCTTTCTTTCATATATATTCATTCTTGGGCGGGAATGGTCTTATAAAACAATAAATGTGTTTGCCATTAGATATTTGTAAAAGAAAATTAATAGTGACTGAGGTAAAAGAAGCTATAAATAGCTCGCCGCTATGGTAATAAAAGTAAATATATAAGGCCAATTAGCACGAAGAAAACGCAACGGCCGTTGTGGTGTAGTGGTTAGCATACTGGATCGGCAATTCAAAGACCCGTCGTGCCGATTTTTCGTGCGATTTTTCTATGTATTATTTCTCGCTCATGTCTTTCTTTCTTTCATATATACATATACTGGACGTTTGTAACGTCACTTTTCATTGGATAATCTTGACGTTTTTGTAGTTTTATAAACACGGCTGCTGTCAATTTATAAAAAAATATCTCACTTTTTTCTCTAAAAAAGGAAAATTGCAGTATTATAAATTCGTTATAAATATTCCTGACAGGTTATATGGCCAAATATAAACGGTTGTTTGCAATATAATTCTCGCCTGGCGGCTCAGGTTATATTTACAAACAACCGTTTATATAGGACCATATAACCTGTCAACAATCTTTATAACTACTAATATATTGAAACTGTATCACTTTTAATAACACATAGGTTGTTTTTTTCCTTAGATTAATTGTAATGTAGAAAAATTTCGATAAATGAATTGGTGTGCCTTTTCACTGAAATAAGTACTGCATATTGCAATTGACATTTTTCATTAACAGATCTTATTCAGAAGCAATAGTCATAAATCAGCTTCCATTTTGTCAGCATGATAGTATCTAAGTTTACGTGTGCTGATTTATCTCATGTTCACTCTATTTATAATAAGTCTAAATTCACAGGGTACCATGGAAATACCTGCATTGATATAAATGAATGTCAGGGTTTAAATCCTTGCACGAATGGCGGGACATGTCATAATACTCCAGGATCATTCACTTGTCAATGTCTCAAAAGCTGGACTGGACGTTTATGTGACGTTGATGTTGATGAGTGTTCTTTACAACTTTGTACAAATGCCACAACTTGTACGAACACTCCTGGGTCATTTCACTGCCGTTGTGAACGTGGATTTCGTGGACATTATTGCACAGATGTTGACGAATGCAAACTCCCAATAAAGTTTTGTCAACACAATAGCACATGCTTGAACACATATGGTTCCTATTCATGCATATGCTCCGAAGGTTATTTAGGAAACAGATGTGAACAATGTCAGGTATGAAAATAAATTCACTTAAATGTTTTTGTTTAACCACAAACGTGTTCTAAAGAGGTTGTTGTTTCGTACATTGAATTACATGAAGTTTGATGAGAAAAAAATAAAATATTCCAGTTATAGTAATTATTGATAAAATGGTTTTGGTATTAGATCAACAAAACCTTAGTACATGTAAATGCTAAATAGAGTACACATATACCAATTGTTACACTAAAGTGTTATTTTATCTTTAGAATTAGATACATTTAAATAAATACATGCAATTAAATTATATTTATGCTTTATGCTATACCATTTATGACCTCATCGTATTAAGTGACTTAAATTTATTGCTGATAACATTTTCTACACAAAAAATTCTGATAACCTTTTTTGGTATTAAATTAGGCTACGGACTGTTAGTAACCTTAAGTGTAAAGAAGTGATTTCAACAACGTAACAAAAGCGCTTGTTCATCTATTTCATCTAAAAATATAAAATAATCAGTAATGAATGTATTTCGAAACATACCAAATTCCAATAGGGGAATTTTTCATTTGAAATGTACATTTACAAACGAGCCAATTTTACGTTTCTGAAAAAAAAAGCCAATCTTTTCTTCTTTAATTGGTTAGTTATTCGTTATGACTTGTTTTCAATACTTTTCAGTCATGTGGTCCTCACAGTGCAAATTGTACAAATAAGAATGGTAATTTAACTTGTAACTGCAAAGAAGGTTGGAATGGTAAAACTTGTCAAAACGATATAAATGAATGCCAAACTAAGCCTTGTCATAATGGGACATGCAATAATAAACCCGGTAATTACAGCTGCACATGTTATTCAGGGTACACAGGGAGAAACTGTGAAAATGATTTTAACGAGTGTTTAACGATTACGTGTGCTAACAATGGTACGTGTGTCAACTTACCTTACCCACGGAGGTATAGATGTGATTGTGCGCCAGAATGGGATCCTAAAAGCCGTTGTCATCATCATATAGATGAATGTAAATTAAACCCTTGTATTCATGGAAATTGTTCAAATAAAAATGGAAACTACATTTGTACCTGTAAAACTGGTTGGACTGGTAAGAATTGTGACGTCTGGGACAGATGTAAAGAAAATCCATGCTTAAACAATGGAACCTGTTCCAATGAACCTGAGAATAACTTTTGCACATGTGCTGACGGTTGGGCGGGGGACAATTGCTCTGCTGATATAGATGAGTGTAATACTAGTAATCCTTGCAAGAACAATGGTCGATGCACAAACATAAATGGTGGGTATATGTGTGTATGTGGAGCCGGGTGGACGGGCCAAAACTGTACAGTAGATGTTAATGAATGCAGAAAGTATAATCCCTGTAAACACAATGGCAGTTGCAGAAATACACAGGGGGGATACTCATGTCAATGTGAAAAAGAATGGACAGGGAGAAACTGTTCAGTAGATGTTGATGAATGCAGTAAGCATAACCCATGTCAGCACAATGGCGTTTGCAGAAACACACAAGGAGGATATTTATGTAATTGTCGTACTGCATGGATGGGGGAAAACTGTTCAGTAGATGTTGATGAATGCAGTGAAAATAACCCTTGTAATAATAATGGCAGATGCAGGAATACACAAGGAGGATATGCTTGTCATTGTGGAAGTGCGTGGATGGGACAAAACTGTTCAGTAGATGTGAATGAATGCATCTCACATAATCCCTGTAAAAATAATGGCAGATGCAGGAATACGCAAGGAGGATATGCTTGTCATTGTGGAAGTGCATGGATGGGAAAAAACTGTTCAATAGATGTTGATGAATGCATCTCACATAATCCCTGTAAAAATAATGGCAGATGCAGAAATACGCAAGGAGGGTACTCATGTCAATGTGAAAGAGGTTGGACTGAACAAAACTGTTCCACTGATATCAATGAATGTCATAATAATAACTCATGCCAAAATCATGGTCATTGTACCAATACCCCGGGAGGATACACATGTCACTGTACCATTGGGTTTACGGGGGAAAATTGCACATCTGACATCAACGAATGTACCAATAACAAACTTTGCCAGAATAATGGAACTTGTCATAATATCAAAGGAGGATATACGTGCACATGTCCTCAAAATTGGACCGGCAATAACTGTGAACAAGATGTCGATGAATGTCACGGTCCTTCTCCTTGCAAACATAATGGAACTTGTATAAACACAATCGGTAGTTATTCATGTAAATGTCCGACAAATTGGAAGGGAAGTCACTGTGAAACTGTGAATGAATGTGGTAAAATAGATATGTGTAAAAACAATGGAACATGTAAAAACTTAAACGGTGGATATACGTGTGCTTGTACAGCTGGATGGACAGGCAAAACGTGTAGCTTTGATATTAATGAGTGTAGACTTCATAATTCTTGTCAAAATAATGGCCTCTGCGCGAATACTCCGGGCGGGTACTCTTGTCACTGTGACATTGGATGGACTGGAAAAAACTGCTCAGTTGATGTTGATGAATGCCTTACTGACCATTCCTGTACACATAATAGTACATGCAAAAACGTTATAGGAGGATATATGTGTACATGCGATGCTGGGTGGACTGGCGTAAACTGTTCTCTGGATATCAATGAATGTGAGGTAACTGTCCCATGTCAAAATAATGGGACATGTAAAAATACAAATGGGGGTTACTCATGCACATGTCCATTAAGCTGGAAAGGAGATAATTGTGAGATTAGCATAACAGATTGCAGTAATCTACCATGTAAGAACAATGGAAGCTGTTCATACACAAATGACGGATACACATGTAAGTGTTCCAAAGGCTGGACCGGCAGAAATTGCGAATATGGCTTATCATCAAATTGTAAGTTATAATAAATATTTATATGATAAAGACTGCTATAAATACATAAAAAATTAAAGCACAAGTGATCATTTGTATCCTTTGACTCTGATAGTCATGATTGTTAGTAATATTTACACAGTCTTCAGTATATAACGTTATCGATGTTTATATTTGGAATTTGTATTTATATTATTCTCTATATCTATATTCTTAAATTGATGTGTTTATTCATTTACGATACAAATATCAATTAAACACATTTTGTGGTTCAGCTTGCTATACACTATTTAATTAACTTATATCTTCAAACTAACTTACAAGTTTAGAACATTATATCTAAATTTACAGTTAAACTAGAGGATGCGATAAAGCCAGACTGCACGGATTTTGGATGGAATATTTCTGTTGATATGTCAGTACTAAAACAATTATATCCTGGTATCACGATCAACAATATTTTCTTCGGTGACAACTCCTGTAAGGGGAAATTGGTAGAGAGTATTGTGTTATTTTCGCAAGGATTTCAGGACTGTCTAACAGCGGAAAGGGTTGGTATATATTTTATATATCAGAAAAAAGCATATGTTAGATTTGTTAGAAACAATTATTATATAATGTTCATTACGTAGTATCAAAGTTACTCTAAGAACCTGATAACATAATTGTTTGTAACAATTTTCTTTAAGCGTTTTTTACCTACTTTAAATAAAGAGACTCCACACAGGATTTTGAACTAGAACATACCGAAAATACTTTTTCCTTAATATTTTATTATAACTGAATGTACGTCAGAATCATTAACATACCGTTAAAACATCCGGTTAAAAGAACAGCAAATAACTATCTCAGGCAAATCATTTATCACACAAATAAACGTTCCAATGGAAATTATTCAAGAATTTTAACAAAAACACCAAATTTATGTAGATATATCCAAACACTGTTAAGAAGATAGGTGTACGCTATAAAATATGTATGGCAAAACCACTATGTTGTAATATTCTCAGGTCATACCCAGAACTATCGTTTCTAAATATCATCCCTTGTTAAAATAGTGTAACCCTTTAATTACTGGCACATTTGGTATCAATATTTACCTCGGAATATATCCATTCTGTTATAGACCCTATGCAATAGAAAGAACATCAAAACACAATGTAATATGATTTGTACGAGGTAGGCGTATATAAATTTCGATTACATTTTATTGTACTCAAAGTATCCTTTTCCCCGTAATTTTTCCAAAAAAAACAAAGATTGGGAAAATTTAAATTGGGAGGGATTATGTGAAAAACTCGGGCGTTATCTAATCATTTTATAAAAAATATAAAAATTAATTTTGAAAACTAGTTTTAAAACTCCTGAAAAAATGATTTTTTATAATTTAAAAGAAATTAATGGGAGTCGTAAAAAAAAATTGTTTTTTTCGGCGAAAGAAAAATTTGAAACTTTTTATCAATTTTTGAAAAATGAATTATACTAAAGATAGGAAAAAATTTAATCCCAAAAAATAGTATGGGGTTTTCATTTGCTGTTTTTTTATTTAAAAGCAATTTGAGGTTATTTAATAACTGACTTTTTCCTTTAAAGGGGTATAATGCCAAAATTTTCTTTCCCGTAATAGGGGCCAAAACTAGGTGTTTCATTTGGTAGAATAAACAGTTTGATAAATAAATGTTTAGACCTTAGAAAGAACAAAAATGCTAACAACTTTCATGTGAAAACAGTTATGGTATATAATTCATATTTAGTCTTAAGAAGCATATATCTCGAATTTCTCTGTAATAATAAAAAATATTAAAATAGATCAGCTTGTCACAATGCCGGATATAAATAAAGAAATGACAGTGTTCAAACTAAACAAAAAAAATACTGTTTAGTACTTTTTTGTAATATTTAGTTCACGTAAGTAACAGTTAAATATCAGAAAGTTAATTTCCCCATAAAAGTATTCTATTTGTAACCAATACTTGCATTCCAGTAAACGTACTGTTTGTTGTTTTCGATAAAAAAATGTCTCCTGGTTATATATATGATGCAATAATATAAAGAAAGTAAAGTCTTTTAATATTTACCTATTTTATTTCTAGCATCTAACTGTTATTTTCTAACATCTTACAATATATCGAATATCAAATGACACCAGTTTTCAAATTAATGCAAGAAGAGCATGAGGCTAATGAAATAGAAACATACATTTGCTTTAAACCTTAAAATGTCACATGATCAATGTGCCAAACTAACTTCAAAATAACATTATTTCTTAAACGTATAAAATGATCTTTATTTGTTTTATACAACTTTCAGATATCAGGCGATACGATAATATATGAAAATGAGTTGTTTTATGCAATCTACGATCCTATTCATCCATTTATTATTAGACAACACAAATTCACATTTGGAGTTGAATGTGACGTCAGTCGTAATGAAGCGACGTCATCACACGTACATCATAATGTTGAAACGCACCATTCGGCTGTTCTTCAGCATTATAGTATAAACATGGCATTTTATAAAGACCAAGGTTATATAGATAAACTGCCAGGAAACCCAATACAAACCAACGTTGGGGATGATATATATGTCAAAGTGTTCACTACGGCTACTGACTGGAATATAAAAATGAGGTTACATACATGTTATACGAGTCCCAATCAACCAACGAAGAATTTAATTTACTACATTATCAAGGATGGGTAAACATTTTAATCAGTTTCAATAAATATTTTCATTTGCTCATGGAATTTATTCAACATGAAACCATGACAAGCTTAGCGGACCAAAACAACAATGAAATTCACGTCTTAAGTAGTACATTTAGCAGGTATTGTTACCTTTTTACACGGTATCCTTAGAGTCACCGTTGGGAAGCTTACAAGTAGAGTTTACTGCCTGGCACAACAGTAACCAACATCTAAATGTTACAGATGCATACATGTTATCTTAGGTGCTAAAATGAAAATATGATGGGCTTTATTTAGCAACAAAATGTTTGATTTCGTGTATAATGCTTTTCACGTGTTTTGTTCTAAATGATGTGGAACCAAGATATAGATACATTATAGCATTCATTTAGCACTGTTTTAAATTATATCAAAAATATCTGGAAGAAGTGATCCCTCGGAAGCATTAAAAACAGCAAAATTACAAGAAAATTGCAGACTCGGCTTGATAAAGTACATGTTTTTACATTAAGGATAATATGAAGCTTGTATTTAAATACATATGCATTTCTGTAATAAAGGCCTGATTTAATATTTCATTTCAGTTGTGAAGTAGATAGTAATACTCATATCATATCGCAATCAACACATGAGACAAGATTTGTGTTTCAAGATTTTGAGTACTCCACCGATAGAGAGGGTCTTAATATCAACTGTAACGCTACATTTTGTGAAAGTAAAGATTTTTCTCCTGGATGTTCTCAGTCATGTCAGCCAGATAATACGCAGACATTCATTGGGAAATAGATCAAGCAATTCATTTGTGAAACAAACATTTGATTATTAATTTGATATTAATTTTATAATAGATTCCTTAAAAACAAAACTTTTCGTTATAGCTTTGTTGAAAACGGTAAACAACTTCATTTTACATATATTTCGGTGGAAAGTTTGCAAAGAAGTGTATCTTGACTGTAACATAACAAAACATTTATTTATAACATTTTAAGTATGATTGTATAAAACATTTTAAGTATGATTGTATAATAATACTAAAATTTTGATATTATTTAAAACAATGACAAATTAATAATACCAAATGTTTGAATGATATAGGCAGTGACCTATTACCTTTCTTCAATCTAGATATTCGTTATTACATGAAATTGAATACAGCACACAAAATTATATAATTCAGATCTGACTCAACGGATCAGACATTTTGTAAGTTTTAATAAACGATTTAAATGAAAATAAATATGTTTTAAATTACTTCCATTGAATAAAAAAGTATATATGAAAGGTAAAATGGCATCAAACTGAATAAATGCTTGTACTAGCTATATTCAATATTACTTTCTTATGTTTTAAGACATCAAAGAAGATATAGAATGAAGAGTTAAGCATTGAATGCAGCACGTTTATTCATATTTGGGTATTTTATGGTGGCTGATTTGGTACACTTGTGCGTCGTGTTGTCGCTAGCGACAGCACGACAAAGCGCCCAACGGCACATTGTCACACATTCATCTTGTCGTCCTGTAACGATGCACGCCAAACGGCGCGTTGTCATACGGAGTGTTGTCGCGATGTCACATTGTTGCTCGGCTCAAATCGAAGGATTTGCTATTTGTATATATAAAAGCCAAACGACAGGGCGACATCGCGACACAACATGCCGCACGACAAAGTGCCGTTTGGCGCATTTCATTAGCAACAAGAAGAAAAGGCGATAACGGTATAGGTGTGTTGTCGCTATCGACAACGCAACGCGCAAAGTGTACCAAATCAGCCACCATAGTATTGACATAGTATTTCTTTGTGAATAGTATTATAGATTCTACTACTTTAATTAACATTGGTACCAGTTATAAATCTTGGTACTCTAAACTGATGGACATCTGCGGATGTTTTTAAATTCAAAATTTCACCATAAACATGATTGAATGTTGGATTATGCATAAGCCGGTGCTAAAGGGCGTGGGCAGTAACTTGCACTTTCCATTACCGCTCATGAACAGGCTCAATCAAACCGAGCCTGCAACATAAGCAATTTTGTTGTTTTGTGCCTTCTTAAGGGATTCTTTATTTCTCTCTATTTACATGCATATCGTCATTATAATGGGTATTTTTGTGTTTTAATTCATCAACGTTAACATAATGTTATATAAAAGAAAACAGTATATGCAAACAATTCATACACTAATGCATGCAAAGGGGCTTATAATCTGAACTTCAAAGTTCGTCCGTGCACTATTAGACGTTGAGTCGAGTTAAAAGCTTGGACATTTTATTTAAGGCAAATACCCATGATTTATATAATTCTAGTCCAATTGACTAGATATCTATCGTAGCTACTATGAGAAGACTTTCGAAGTTGGTAACTCCACCAAATGCCAGTCTACCTATATTGTGTAACATGCATGGTATAGATATACACTTTTATTGTTGAGCTTAAATGTACAGCTATTAAAGTATAAAATAATTCTATCGAATCTTGTGTTTCATCATTTCTTTAAGGATTCAGTATTATCAGTATAGCTAATACAGTAACCTATATAATTAAATTTAACAAAGGGATCATATTTTACTCAAATGCAGACATTCAGAGGGCCAATGGGCAATGATTAATGTAATATATATCTAAACATTATACTTTAAAGATGGAAAATATATTCTTGTAAGAACATCTTTTCCAGGGCGCGGGAAAAAAGTAGGACTGCATAATAGAGAACTTGAAGATTATTTTTTCAAGATATCTGAGGTCAGAGTTTCGGATAATTTCAAAGTAACTTGCAAATGAAAATCGAATGTAACACATGAAATGCTGGGAATATATTATCTTTTACCCTTTATTGCTATAATTAATACAAAGTCAAGGAAATTGTAAAGAAGAAAATTTTGAGTGTGTTTGCAATTAATCCATGACTCTGAAAAGCGTTTGAGATGGTAAAGTACTAACCTTGCAGGCCTCCTAAGATAATGTCCATAATGTATGTCTTTTAATATTTTTACCTTAAATCGATATATCATAATGCGCTAGAATATTAACGCAATATTTCGGGGAAAGTTTAGATCCGGTATCTGGTAATCGCATTGTTATTCCACAAAGAATCTTATTCGAATGTTTGTGTGTGTGTGTGTGTGGGGGGGGGGGGGTAACTCGTGCTGAACGTTGCGGTAGTGGCCCATGTCTTTCCTTTTTTTTCAATATATTTGACATATTCTTAAAGAAGCAGTATTGAATGAATTGAGTTTATTTTTCTTAGACAACCATATTGATAATATAAAAGCTATTTAAACTATTAAAATTAATGATTAATCTTGCCTTACATATTGTATCCATCGCCTCTTGCTTAAAATCTGGTAGATTTTAGTAAAAATTCCAAATTACTTTCTCATTCGTTCACCTGGGAAATTTTTTTATTGTTTAAACTCCCCTTCGTTTTTCTACTTTAATTTTCTAAATTTTAAAGGAAAGTTTTTCAAAAAAATAAAACCCCCAAATAAAAAATTTTTTCTTTTTTGGAAATTTTTCCAAAGTTCCCCAGAGTTTTTTGTGGTTTTAAATTTGGAAAAATTCCCAAAAATTTCCCTTTTGATAATTTTGTTTTCCGCTGATGTGGGTTTTGCCCCTAAAATAAGGGCAAAGGGCCCTTTGCGGGATTTTTTATTTTAAAAAGTGTTGGGAAATCATTATAATTCTGAAATACGCTTTTTTTCATTGCACAGAAAAATTTGGTTTTTAAAATGGGGTTTTGGGGCAACCGCCCTTTTTTTTTTAAACTGACAAATAAATAGTTTGGGGTCCCCCCCCCCCAAATAAACGGCCCCTTTTTAATTTGTATTATTTTAAAAACCAGAAAAATTTCATAAGTTTTAAGCATATCAAGGGTTGGATTACAACATTCAAGTTTTTTTGTTTGTTTGTTTTTTACGGCACGTCAACACGTAACTGGCCATATCGTTACCGAATGCTAATAACAGGCTTAAATTGTTATGTAAACTTTGTAAATGACGAATAAATAATAGTCAATTTGATCAATAGAAAACAAATTTATTTCATTGAAATAGATCAATGATGTTTTTTTTGACGGAATTGTTAAAGAGTTCTTTTGAGTGAATTTAACACAATACAATCTTATTACGGGGGCCTGTGAAAAATCAGGACATTCAGAAGAAAATGTTTGACAGTAAAATTTTTTATTACAAGCTACACAGAAAAGGGGCATTGTAATTCGTGAGGAGAGAAGAGTGGGTAATTTTAGTGGGTGTTCCCCAATTCGGCGGCATCGAAGGAGAACTGTTTTTATTTATTGGGCCCGGTTTTCAAAAGATAAAAGAAAGGGGGGAAAACATCCCAAAAGAAAGGGGGTTTTATTTGGGGAAGTTTTTTTAAAAAAAGGCAAATTGGGCCCCAAAATTTTCTTTCCATTCCCGAAAAATTTCGGGGGTTTTTTTTTATACCCTTTAAATACCTAATTTTGGTTTAAATTTTTAGGAAAAGGGAAAAACAATTATAAAAACATTTTTAAAGCCGGGGCCAACTTTTTGGGTATAAAATTGGAAAATTTTCAATGTTTTTTTATACTTTGTAACCCCCAGGGGTTTTTTTCCCAAAAAAAATCATGCATTATTAAAATTTTTTTGAAAAAGGTTTTTTAAAGGCCCCTATTTTTTAAAACCCCTTGTTTTTTTCTTTATTTAAACCCGGGGTTTCATGCTCAGGTTATATAAGCCCTGTTTAAATGTTAATAATTTGGGGCCCTATAATCCTATCTGTTTTAAATACTGGGCATTTAACCTGTCCAATATAATTTAAATGGTAATTTAAACATTTACCCTGCTTGAAACTGAAATAACCAGCCCTGTTAGCAGCCAGTAAAAGGGCCCAGGCCCCCCAGCATGCACAATCCCATGGCAGTTTCTTGACCAAAGCTTTTTATCCTTCGGCTAATCAACTTTTAAACAGTTCCATCCCTTTAATATCCCATAAATTGAATAAGAAACAGTTTTTCCAAAAATGGAAGTCAGACAAGTCTATGTAAGAAAAATTCATCCCAGGGTTTAAGGGGGGTTACATTATAAACAACTTTGTCTCTCTTAGAAATAGAGGGTAATAACATAACATGACATACATCTTTATTGGCATAAAATAGCATGAATCATACATATAGCCAATATAGTTTTTCAAATTACATATGAAAAGGGATAAAAGTTTACAAACATTGTAAACAATAATTTAACAAATTTTCAGGAGAATGGTACACAAAACAACAAATTTAGTACTGAAACAAATGAACAATAAATTAACCTCTTAAAAGTTACATATTTTCAGTTTATTAAATTCTATATATTGTGTAACTCTCTTTTTTTGAACATGGCAAAGTAAAAGATAGTTTTTGAAAATTATTAAATTTCTTTGGAAACTTTCTACTTGTCATTAGTAATTTTGAATTTTTTTTAATAGTGGGGCCACCCTAAAAAATATGGTTTTAGATATTGTTTTTCCTTAATTTATTAAAATTTGAACATATAAAGGAAAATAAACTCATTTTCAATTACAGTTCCATGGTACAAAGAAAATCCGTTCCCTTGAATGTCTATCTGTTTCAATGGCAAGATTATGTGCTGGCAGTCTAAATTTTGTTAAACCTATTCTGAATTTATTCGTATTTATAACATTAAGACATAAGTCTTGATTAAATTCATGTTTGAAAATACAATAGGAAGATATATCGAATATTGTTCCGATCATACTGTACCAGCAAAAATGATTTTAGATGATACCTTCTCATGAAACATTTTACATACTCCATTTAATTGGTGAGGCATGATCTTTGAGTGGTACTGTTAAAAAATTGCTAAAGTAT